TGTGTGTGTGTGTGTGTGTGTGTGTGTGTGTGTGTGTGTGTGTGTGTTTTTGCAACAGAGAGCACTTTTCAGGAATCTTCCCACAGACAACCAGTTTAATATACAATATATGAATATTGCAATACTTTAATTAGTAGACCAGAGGGTCAATCACTATTGTTACCTGCTTCAGAGATATTGATATTAAAATCTTACAGAATGCCACTTTAAGAAAAGGTCAAAAATAGATTTTTCCAGGATAATTAAAGTGTTTGTTGTTGTAGTACTCATTTCAGCCACAAGAGTGCACTGTGAGTCGTATTTGTATATTCATCAAACACTTTAAAAAACGATTTTAACCTGCCAAAACTTATTTAACCTGTTTCAACAGATGAACTATAATAACCTGTGCTTAAGTCATAAACACAGAAGAGAAAACTTATTTAATTTCTCCCTTGACCCTCTGGGCTTCCGTACCGACTGTTCTAATCAGGATGAGATGCAGCTCTGTGGAATATTATATCCTGTTAAAACAGCTCAAACCCAGTCGTGGTGTGTTTCACAGACAAACATTGGATCTAATTGTAAATATAAAGTCGAGGCAGCAGAACAGTTTTTAATAATCAGCTGCAGTAGAAACAAAAAGATTTTCCCCGTGTTCATGTTTTATTCTTTCCCGTTTTAAGTCTCATGAACCAAAAACTGCTTCATCAGCTTCAGCATCTTCTCACAAACATGTTCTATTATTATTCATAACCAATGAGAGATAAAGACTGACGTCGTCGTTTACAGAGATCACACAGGAGCACTGATGGACGGCAGTTTCTTTTATTTCACTATTTTATTAATAATTAGGCAGAACAGCGTGAACATGTGAGTAGACGGTGAATCCTCTTCCTTCCTGTTGGTCTTCTATCACATCTGTAATAAATGCCTTTTTTCTTTGAACACTCGAGCCGTCTGTCTGCAGAGAAGACGTTTGTGACCTCACCACATGTTGTTTAGGGTTCAGGATGATGGTTGTCATCTCTCACCACCCTCTTTTGTTAGAAAATGGAAAACAGAAACACTGGAATGTCAAAGCTTTTTTTAAATAAATAAATAAAAAAGTAAATGTGAGAATTTGGTTGTGAAATGTTTTCACCTCTTTATTTATTTTTATTTATTTATTTAAATGTTTTAGAGCTGCAATGTACAGTCAGAAAATGAACCAGAAGCTGTGTTTAGATCATTTATTAATTGTTTGTCATTTTTCAGAGCCGCTCAAATGTTAAGATCTGTTAGTTAGAGGAACAAAAACTATTTAAAGAAGTCACCGTTGCAATTTTAAATATTTTTACTACATATTTTAGATGAAACAGTTGATTAATTAAGACAATTAACAGTAAATTAATCATTCAAATCAATGCTCAGAGCTTAGTAATGTGAGGAATACAGCAGATTAATATAAAGGCAAAGAAAAGCTGCAATAATTACAATGAGAATTTTGTTAGAATTTCAAAAATAAACTAAATCTATCCATCTATCTATCTATCCATCATAAATCTATTATCTATATATTTTGGGTGCAGTACACAGTTACATCCTGTAGGTAGCAGTGACGCACCTTGGCTTAACATATTTCTGATTCACTCAGTACACGAAGAAGAGCAGCATGCTAGAAGCAGCTGTGAATACACGGACAGGAAGCTAGCTAAGTGTTGGACAGCTGCAGTGTATTAGCTATTAAAACAACATAATTAAGATTTGTGTTGATAGTCGGTAGATAAAACCAGTATGACTAACATGCTGGTGTCACTGGAATAGCAAACGTTTCGCTTTTACTGCCTTTTTATACGGTTTTTTAGCCGTTAGCTAATTAGCTTGCTTTAGCTAGCTAGCTAGCTGTCACCGGGTTGTTTTGTTCTGTGTAAAAGTGGCCGTTTCCTTTTTTAACACATGAGTGTGTCTATGGTTGTTATCCGTCTGGAACTAGCCGACCAGTCTCCTTCTCCACAAGGTTTCCAGTACTCTGCTGGTGAGTTTACGTTTCTCAGAGTCACTGTTGTAGTGCTGAGTTCGCCGTGAAGCTAACAAGCAGGACAAGGAAAGAGATCCTATCTAACTGTTAGCTAGTTGATGTTTTACTTTTTACTGTACTACATCTCAGAGGTACATATTGTACTTTTTACTGTACTACATCTCAGAGGTACATATTGTACTTTTTACTGTACTACATCTCAGAGCTACATATTGTACTTTTTACTGTACTACATTTCAGAGGTACATATTGTACTTTTTACTGTACTACATCTCAGAGGTACATATTGTACTTTTTACTGTACTACATCTCAGAGCTACATATTGTACTTTTTACTGTACTACATCTCAGAGGAACATATTGTACTTTTTACTGTACTACATCTCAGAGGTACATATTGTACTTTTTACTGTACTACATCTCAGAGGAACATATTGTACTTTTTACTGTACTACATCTCAGAGGAACATATTGTACTTTTTACTGTACTACATCTCAGAGCTACATATTGTACTTTTTACCGTACTACATCTCAGAGGTACATAGATATTGTAAACTGAAGGATGAAGTGTTCCTTTATGTCTAACAGGCTGTTTGTTCTTTTTAGAGATACGTGGTTCTCACAGAACAGAGACGCTACAAACATATGATGAGCTTATAGAATATGATGCATTGATGTAGATTAAACTAGACAACAGGAGTTAACATGCAACATACACATTAATGCAGGAGGAATATTAATCCAGAAACACCGACAGGGAACGTTGTACTGAACTATTAATACTTTTACTTGAAGTACATTCTGGTGATAGATACTCGGGGGTCCAGTTTGTCCATTCGAGCTCACAGAAACTCGTTTCCTTTCCAGTTGAAGGCATGTCGGAGAAGGAGCTGCAGGAGAAAGCTCTCGGTGTCGCCAAACACACTCTGAGTGGAAAGACGGATCTGGAACGAGCCGCTGTGCTGCACCAACACATTGGCAGCAGAGCCATGGGGGACATGGTCATAGAAACCTTCGAGCCCAGCCCAGGTACGCACATGCAGACTGCTTTGAAGCTGCGTTATACATTATCAGATTAGAGTCTGCTTTAAACTAGCTCTTAAAGGATGAGGCTGGAAATATTTCATATGAAGACTTGCTGCTGCCTCTCCTTAAATCAGATAATACTTTATTTATTTACACTGCACTGTGACTTCTATTCTTTTGTTTTATACCGCTTTTATTCTATTTCAGCTTTTCATTTTCTATTCTCTTGGCTCTTAAATTTTTAATACGCATTCAATAGGAACCAATGTGCTTGTATCTGAGAACCACAGACAGGAAGTCAGACAGCATTGTCAGACGGACTAACAATGTTGGTTTACATATATCTAAATGTTTGCAAACTAGATAAAGGAGGAGGTGAAGGTGAAGCTGAAGCTGGTTCATCAGAGCAGGACGGAGAACCTCCGGCTGAAGCAGACGTTCTGGAGGGAACCGAAGTGTCACCGGACGACAGCGAGGCGACCGGCGCGGCACCCGAGTCGCCCTCCAAGCAGCTGCCGGACCAGATCTCCTTCTTCAGCGGGAACCCGTCCGTGGAGATCGTCCATGGCATCATGCACCTCTACAAGACCAAGTGAGACGCACACACACACACACGCACCTCTACAAGACCAAGTGAGACGCACACACACACACACACACACGCACCTCCACAAGACCAAAACGTCACCGTCTGCTTCATTCGGGGTGTTTTTTGTTTGTGTTGCAGCAAAATGACGTCGCTGACGGAGGACGTGAGGCGCAGCGCGATGGTGTGCATCCTGACCGTCCCCGCCACCATGACCAGCCACGACCTCATGAAGCTGCTGGCGCCTTTTAACGACGTCATGGAGCATATGAAGATCATCCGGGACTCTACCCCGAACCAGTACATGGTTCTGATTAAGTTCTGTACGCAGGTGAGGGACCAGCACAGTCAGGGTTACTGCTTCTTATCATGAAGCTTTATGAAAGCTATGTTTCAGGGAGGGAAGTTTACAGCATCATTTTAAATCTTTCCTTTTAGCTGAAGAGAAGTTTTTAGGAGGGTTCTCTCTATTTTAACACCATCTGTCTGCTCATATCTTCACCTTAAGATCAGTTCAGCTTTGACGTTTCAGTTAAATCTGTTGTGTTCAGGTTCTGAAAGCAAGTTGAGGGAAACTGGACTTCCTAGTTTTGTGTTTGATAACATTAAGTAACATTCATGGTTTATTTTCTCTTGAACAGACATGTCACTCTTTGTGATGTATGTAGAGGTTTATATCTCTTTATGCCTGACAGCTTCTTTATTTCTTCTTCCTGTTTTGTTTCTTCAGGCCGACGCAGACAGTTTCTACACGGCATGTAACGGCCGCCAGTTCAACTCCATCGAGGACGCTGTTTGTCAAATGGTTTATGTGGAGCGGGCCGAGGTCATAAAGTCTGAAGAGGTAAAGATAGATTCTCACATTTATTCTTAAAGTCTAACTATGTACTAGAGCTGCTACAGTCGGTCATTAAACAAAATAAGTGGCCGCTATTTTGATAATAGAAAAATAAATTTTTAAAACAGCATTTTTCTTTACAATCTCTAGTTTCAAGTCTTCTTCAATACAGCATGATGTTCATTTTGTACATTATGGTCCATTTAGAGTCAAACAGACCATAAAGCATGGGATGCTTTAGGGGCGGGGCTACACGGTGATTGACAGGTCTCTACCAGAGACGTATATGGAGTCTCTACGTCACTCCTCCTCAGTCCACATATGGTCACTTCCTGTTTACTGGTTGCAAAAAAAACAAGATGACGACGACCAAAACGCCGAACTGGAGGCTTCAAAACATCAGTCCATAAACCAGCGGATTAAAAAGGATTTATAGCATGGAATTAGTAAAAATCCATTTCATCCCAAATAGCACATAGTTTCCTTTCTCTTATCTCCTCCCCTCTGCCTCCCTCCCTCCC